AGTTGTGTCCTACACGTCTGTTTCCTTCACTGCATGTCTCCCATGTCTGTGTGTGTGTATATATAGCAGCAGACTTGGGTGTGGATGTGAACTTGTGCGAGAAGGAGGTGACAACCGAGAGCTCTGGGGAGTTTCTGACACCGTGTCGAAACGGACCGGGGTCGTGTCTCAGAACTCTGGTGGACTTCCTGTCGAAGACTCACAACAGCCTGGTGACAGAAGCCAGGAAAGTGAGCGGCCAAGAGGACAGGTCAGTGCACCGGGTCAGGTGCAAAGGCTGCTGGGATTTAGAGTTCATAGTACAACTGCAGAGTTCATCAAGCAAAACATTTGATATTATCAAGGCTATTTGCTTCCATCTGAAACGTTATCGTACCGGCTCTATTCAAGCACACAGTTCAGTCCGGTTTTCCTTGTAAGATGGACACATTGAAAAGGCACCACATAAAAAACTATATGATTCAAGGTCCGCTAACTTGCTTGTTCTGGAGCTTTCGACCGTCTCACACAGCCTTCAGCAGCAGATTGAGTTTGCTCTAGATGTTGATCTTGGAAACAGAATCTGCTGATGAAGAAGGGTGAGTGGACCTTGAGTTGAGATCAGTGGAAACACTCGTGGTTCGCCCCTTCTTGCTCTGCAGTAAATAATGTGCACAAACAAGTCAGCTTTATTGTCAGATGTGCTATACATGCACAACATACAGCACAAATGAATTTTCGCTCCTCCCGGGACCCAGAGTGCAAACAGCATATAAAAAAAATTAAAAATAGAAAAGATATAAAAAATAAACATCTACAATTTAAACAAGACATAAAATAAACAATAAACAATCAACAAGACATAAAAATAAACAATCAACTATCAACAAGACATAAAATAAACAATCAACAATCAGAATCAAGGCACTTGAGTATTTACATGATGAAATAAAATAGGATAAAGTATAAAAACCTATATATATAAACCTTCTTACAAAGTCTTAAAAAAAGTCTATTATCCAATAATCTGAGTTTTAGATCATAAATGTCTTAAATATGATTTTGACAGGTCTTGATTATTGAAGTTAAGGTTACTTGTATGTTGAATTTAAAATGTGTTTTTGAGAAAAAAATTGTATTGTTCATATTGTAACAACTACAAAATGAACCAATATGATTTTCCTCTATATCCTTTGTACTTTTTGTTTTGTCAGTATGGATGTATAAAATATGTCTTAAATTGCATTCGCAATGGTCTTAAAAAGTGTTTAACCAGTCGAAGCCTGCAGACAACCTGCATAATCATCTTCCCACCTGTACCTGTAACAGTGCAGCCTGTTGTGTTATTAAACATATGATTAAAACTTCTGATCATGGACATTCTGCTGTTCTATTTCCCTCAGCGAGTACAGTGTTCCTTTAGAGAGGATATCAGAAACCCAGCTGACCCTGTGCCACCCAGAAAGAGAGCTGCTGCCTCTGGTTCTGGCCCACTGCCACTACACCTTAAAGAAAGGCGGCGAGACGGACAGCAGCTACAATCTGCCGGGCATCCAGACCCAGCTGGCCCGCCGCTTCCTGGCTGGAAAACCACTCATACAAGCGGTAAAAATTAGAACTAATCAAACAGCTCCACGCAGACGAACCACACATTCTGCTAACCAGCACTGTTCTCTTTGATCACAATCAGGACACCTCGAGGTACCTGAACAGACACCTGCAGGATTTCTCTGTTGTTCTAACTGAGGTCAGAGACAATATTCGTCAGGTAAGACCACTTCCTGTACTTATAAACTTTTAGGATTTTACGGTACCAAAGTCTTCATGTGGAACTGACTAATGCCAGCCCAAGAATGTTCACAGTAGTTTCCCCTGTAGGATTTTGTGAGGCCACTTTGTTAGAGGTCAAATTCCTTCCCTCACAGTCCTCTCGCTGGCCCGCTGACACTTTCTCTGTGTGTGCCGCAGGAACCGCTGAAGGGTTCAGTGAGTGGCGCCATGAGAACGGTGCTGCGCTCGTACACAGACGTTTGCGATGCTGTGTTTGTGGTGGAGACTGGCCTTCGCTTTCTCGGCAAGACGGGCGGGAATCCTCAGGCTCAACTTCTGTCCTTCCTCACTGATTCACTGCAGATGGGCCGACAGATTTCCAGCTCTGTAGCCAAGGTAGAAACCTCCAGACCCACAGCCATTTCCAAAGCACTGCTATGCAAAGAATGCAATTACGTTAAGTTAAGTTGATTACAACACCCCTTTCTATAAAACCACCATTTAAAGGTCCAGTGTGTAACATTCAGGAGGATCTATTGGCAGGAATTGAATATAATATTCATAGGTCTGTTTTCATTAGTGTATAATCACCTGAAAATAAGAAGTGGGCTACATGCTTCAGTTGGTTGCACACTTCACTGCTAGAAGCCGCTAAATCCTCCACACTGGTCCTTTGAAGACAGTGTTTTTTATATTAATGTGTGGAAATAATTAATAAAGTCCATCATACCAGCTCTGCTGCTGTAATACTACCTAGAACAGCAAGATGCATATTTTAATCTATTAATTATCAATCAGTGCACTCACAACTAAAGTCTTTCTTTTTGGAGATAGACATTCACTTCCGTAAAATATGAAAATCTATTAGCGGGCTATTAAAGCTTGCATGAATGAATCCATCACATTGAATAAGTTGAATTATTGCTGTGAACTTAATCTGCAATACCACGCAACAATAATGTGACACTGACAGTGCAGACCTTGTGATCTTCACTGTGGTGGATTACACAGGTCAAGCAAGTTTAGCAGGTTCCATACAGAAATAACTGATAAACCAGAGTCATATAGTCATGAATGCATCCTGGTTTATGGTTCTTTAATGTATTAGTCTACACACTTGTTGTCTCTTGTGTAATTGTGATTGATTTTTATGTATTTTAAAGGCCCATTGAGGGATGCATTGCAAATTAACTTAGACTATAAATGTTGTGGTGTGTTTATGCTACAGAGTTGTCCCTGTACAAATAAACAATTAAATAAATAACTAAATAAAATAGAAACAATACATGAAAAACACTTCTGATCTGATCTGATGTAAAGTATACATGAGCGGTAATTCAGGAGCTAAAGCTTGCAAAAAAACCCACACTGGTATGCTGTTTTTTTTTTTAAAGATTAAACTTCCCTGTTTCATTTTCATTTTAGGCTCTTGGAGAGAGCAAACTGGAGCACAGCACATTCACCTGGCAGCTCCTGACTTGTTGGAAATCGGAGCTTATGCTGAACAGAAATCAAGTAAGTATTAAAAAAAGCATAAACCTCCAGGGATTTACTGGATGAGGCAGGGGGAAAATATAAAAATACAATTATAACATAGAATAGCCCAAATTTTCAGCCACAACAACAGCCCCCTTTTAAGACTTAAAAACACAAAATCCATGAGAGATACTCCACAACCACATCATTTGTGTTTGACTCCTTATTTTCCTCTGCTGGCTGCCAGTGACTGACCCCAAACACCACAGAGAGTTAAACTTTCTGGGCTGTAATCCGTTGAAAGTGTGCCGTCTCACACGGCAGGCGCCCAGAGTTTGACCCCAATAAAACCTGTATTTGTGGAACTGCACTGCAGTCTCTGCACTCACAGCACTTTGTTGTTGTTATCACGTCACACTTTAATTACACCTAATTGATGATCACGTTTCAGGACCCGTTTCCGAGTCTGCCCTCAGAGTTCCAGCAGAAGCTCTCTGAGGAGGAGAGGAAGGAGCTGAAGGTCTTCCTCGCTGTCACAGACGTGGACGCTTTCTCTCTGGAGCTGCATGAAATTCTGCTGCTGAAGAAGAGCAACGCCGTGCCCGATTTGTACCTACCACAATGGGAGTAAGCTCAAGCCATTTGTATTCCACCCCCACTGTAGTGAAAACACAACCAATTTACCATTTGTGAGTTTAGTTTTTGTAGGAGGTGATGCACCAAATGGTAAAACATTTGCATTATTGACATTCATCCCCACGTTTACCCAAGAGGTGTTTTTAGGAGGAAGAATTTATTAAAAGCTCATGAATGTAAGAAGTGTGCCTATTGTCAGTTCAAAGATTACCACCCTAGTCTAAAGGAATCCATTGATCCTAGACAGCTTTAATCAGAGTAAAGTGTGGAGGTCTCACCCGGGGACTCTCCCTTGGGATTTTGAGCCTATTGACATCCAGGACCAGAGCGTGACCCCTCCAGGCAGCCATCTGTCAGGGGAAAGGAGCTTAAGCTGTATCCCCTCAGCCGCAGGTCATTTCTGTTGAGGCAGCAGCTGGGCAGGGAAGTGAATAGGAATGTTTGTGGTGAAAACAATGGATGCAGTGCTAACAGTTGGTTTCTTCATGCCCTCCCTCCCCACTGTCTCCAGCATCAAGTCCACCTTGGAGATCCATTTGGAGCAGAAAGGCCTTCCACCTCCGCTGGGGCTCGAGTCTCTATCGGAGGACATCACCCTCGGGCAGGGGGCTGACGTGTGGAGGGCCGCTGTAGAGTTTAAAAGGAGATAAATTCTGATTACGCACAGCTGAATTAGTTCAAATCTGTCATGTGATTCTTGTTGTTATTGATATATCGCCTATGGGACATCTGTTGATTAATTAATTCCATATGATAAGTCACAATATGCCTTTCTGTAAATATTATCAGTGTGTTTGAAATGCCTTTAAATGAGAGAGAAAGTGATTTGTATTAATTATGTTATGTTTAATCTGTCACGGAGGTGTCAGGGAACAATTAATAAATGATTAATGAATGAACTGGAGCTTTGTTTTGTGTGGAAGTACATTTTTCCAAACGCTCATAAGTTGGAAAAAATAAAGTCCCTTTGCCATCACACCTCCCTGTGCAAAGTCAACCAAACCGTTGTTTTCTGGCCACGCCCCTTGGAATCCAAACACGGTTGACGGACAGCTCCGGCCAGCCAATCAGACGCACGGATAAAGAAACAACGTTCCCTCTCGACCAATCACAGACGGCGAGAGGCGGAGATTGTCTGTGTTGTTACCACAGAGATGATGTTACGCGTTATTTGGTTCCCAGTGTTTGTCCACTGAGTCAACGGAGGACTTTCAGATTATTGAAAACTAAACCACTGCAGCTGATCAACGATGGTGCCAGCCAGCTTTTAAAGTGAGTACTTATCGGGTTGTAAAGCAAACAGCATTTCTTTCTGTCTTTTTAGTGGTGGGAGGGGGGGTTGATGGGAGAAAGACGTTGACTCTTTCTGTTTTGACCAGACTTCATCTGAACGGGGTTTTTATTTTTTATTCCTCTTTTACAACCAACTCATTAACGCCTTTAAATAGAACCCGTTACTGTTAGCTGGCTCAGGCGAAGCGGTGATTTACGAACAAATCAGTGTACGTGAACGTGTCGTGGTGACATCACTTGTCCCAGTCAGCGAGGTAACGTTGGTAACGTTCGCTCCCGTTACCGTTGGTAACGCGGTAATGACCGTTAGTTTACCGTAACAACAGTGTTATTATATTAACACAGCTAACGTCCGCTCCTGTTCGTGTGATTTAATGTTCATATAGCTTCAGTAATGTTCATTTATTTCATATTTAATATGATAAACATCCGTTAGAGCAGTGCTTACCTACCTGTTTCCTGACATGTGACTTATCTCTTGTGAAATATCGATCAGAGATGATTTTAGTGACATTTTATTCAATTCTCTGTCTGTATAATGTTATTTTAACAATAATACACACTTAAACTCGGTGTTTTCCTCTCCCTGATACTTCTACCATTCTTCTGTCAGCTCTTTGGTTGGACCTTTATAAAGCAGGCTGTTAATCAGAGTGAAGTCTGTGAATATATCCTCAAAGTTTAGATCTTAAATAATATCTAAGGTTGTTGAAGCACAGAGCTGCACCTGTTAGTTACTCGTGTGTACTTTGATTTCAGCTCATTGTCTTTGTAAAGAGTAAAAATAGTGAGTGGTTTTGTTGTTGGTAACCCTGGGAGACAAAACAGTCCGGGGAGAGCGGCTGTTACTTCCTCTGTTGTTGTGGTTGTGCCGGCTAAATCTCTCGGCAAATTGCACGTGTGGCCTATTGTGTGTTATATCCAAGCCTGTTGCACTCTTGCAGCTCTCCAGAGGATGCATACGACACGCAGCCCTTCGTCCATCCCGACAGCTGTCTCCGGAGACGCCTTGGACCTCAGCTTGTCAGGCTCCCAGCTTTCTATGTCCAAAAGACCCAGCAGCGCGTCACCTGGGAAGTACTTCTCCCGCTCCGTGTCGGTTTCTGTGGCCAGTGACAGCAGAGGAAAACGCAACACCCTGGTGAGTAACTGCGCTGCCGTGTGTGTGTGTGTGCTTTTGTTCTGGAGCTGCGGATTGTTTGTGAGTTATAAGATAATGTGTTCAAGATGCAGGACTGAGGCTGTCTCCCGGTGTGCGCTGTCTGCAGACAACAGAGCTCAATCATTCATTAACGTTACCTTTTTAAATCCACAGAGCGACGCTTGCTTCGGTAGCTCCCGCTCCATCAAGAACCTGAGGCGGTCCAACAGCACCACTCAGGTTAATCAGCAGGCCAACATCAGTTTAAGGTACACACACACACACACACACACACACTGTAACTGTTTATGCTTGTAACACATTTCATTTCTCTCACGTCTCTGAGCTTATTTTCCTCGCTCCTTATCACTGACATTGACACACTGAACTGCATACAGTACAGTGTGTGCTGTAACACGTACTTTCACAAAGCCTCAGGGCAAACTTGCTCTTTAACATTCAATTAGATCCTCAAATTAACCTTTATAGCGACATGCATGCCCCTGAAAAAGGAAGGCCATGTTTTTTGGAAGTGACAGAAAGGAATGTGTGTGTTTGAGATAGCGTGTGTCAGTCTGACGCTCTCGTGTAAGCAGGAACGATCTCTGGAGTTACGCCGGCTCGCGTGGAGCCAGAGTGCTCCTCTTCAGCGAGCAACAGCTGGCAGCCCTGGAGCTCCAGCAGTTCGGACAATGGGAACTGTGGTGCGGCGGCTCCTGCATGATAAAGAGTAGAGGGAAGCTGGGCGGCTGTTGCTAGGGTCGCGGGGTGCAGGGACTTGCTTTGTCCCAGGTTAGAGGGGGAGGGCCAGGACCTGGAGGTCAGGTTACCCCTCCCTCCACCAGGAGCCAGTGAAAGGAGAAGTGTGTGTGCGCGCTCTTCTTCTATTGTCCGGCAGCTGCCGCCACCCCACCTCCCCCCGCTGCCTCCGAGGGTGCAGAGCAGAGGGGCTTTAAATTTTAAGACATTCTAAATACCCCCTCCGAGTCTTTCAGGGCAGTCAGTGGGGTCACTCACCACCCCTCTCCCCCTCTGCTGCTTCCTCCCCTCCGTGCATCACTCTCTTGTAAAGCAGAAAGCAGAGGAATGTGCTGCCTGAATAGTGCTGTCAGATTGCTTTTCATTGGGCCAGCTGGCTTCACCCCCCCGAAGATACACACTCACACGCTCATTTATAAACGTACCCAGACAGAAACACCCTGCACAGCACAGATAGCAGCAGAGGCCGGGCCAGACGGGAGGTCACCCTGCATCTGTGCCCCCCGATGGAGGCGCTGCTGCTGTGTGACGCTATTTGAAGGACGAATGCCATTGGGATCAACACACGCATTTACATGGACTCCATAACGGAGTTCCCCCCAGCAGACGGTCAGCTGCTACATACTGAATTCCAGCACTTGGGGCGGGGGACAGGAGAACGGGGACGAGTCCCATTTCTGCAGCTGTCATTACAACATTTAATCACAAAAGCCACCACTAAAAGCATGACTCAAGGTCCCTGCTTTGTGTGCGTTGGTTAATTGTGTGTTGCCCAATGCTAAGCCCTTGCCCCCCCCCCCCACATGAGGACAGATTTGAAATAATATTCTTGGCTTGCAGCTACCACGTCAGCCTTTTAAAGAGTCACTGCACCCAAATGGCAAAAAAATAAATGTGTTTCCACCCTACTAGTGGCATTTATCCATGCACATAGACCGTTTAGTTTAGGCAAAAGGTGTCTAACGTGAGGCTGGCTTGTGTGTGTTTCCCAGTCAGGACCCGAGCGAGGACTACCTGTCCCTGTTTGACAGCAGCTCCGATGGACGCAAGAAGCTGGCCAGCCTCAGCAAGGCCTCACCAGACAGAACCACGTGGAACATCCTGGTATTTGTTCACTTTTTGATATTTGATATCCATCCTGATCACCACATTATCTATGCCGAGCAGCTAAAAGGCATTGCCAATACCAGAAAGACAGCTTTACTAAAGTTTACCAAGCTAACCAAGAGTGTTCCCTCCTTTCTTAACATGAAAACGATATCAGTTTTAAGGGTGTCAGATTGTACAGTAGTTCAGGGCGTAACAAGTGTATGTTTCCCTTCCTTCAGGACGACCAGCCCAGAGTTTTCCCCCCACACTCGAGCTCCCGCAGCACCGGCAGCGTGGACTCTCCCACCAGCCTGAAGAAAAGAGAGCCTGGCATCGCCCTGGCTGCCACTTTCACTGCCAACAACAGGTGGGCAGCGTCTCTGACACACAATACACAGACACGCACACAATAGTCCATGTAGAGCAGGGAGAAGCTAACAGCCCTGTGACTACTTGCACTGCAGCATTCTGGATCTCTACCTGCTTCTCATGTTTCCTACCTGTTGATCATGGCCGCTGATACTGCCTCTAGGAATTCCACCCACACACTGAGACGTTTTCTTCTGAGAAAATTGTCCCAAAAAAAAAAGAACAGTGTGGGCTGAGTTTGCTGTGAAGTAAAAGCACGTACAGTATCAGTTACTGTGATGCCTTGGAGGCGATGGAGTGAAAAAAGGTGGCAGCGGTATTCTAAATACTTCACACAAATGCCAACACATGAGCTTTGCCTGGTTTGTAAGTCAGTAATATCTCCTGGAGAGTGTCATTGTCCCGTTTTGTTTTTCTCAGGAGCAACAAGGGAGCCGTGGGGAACTCTGTCACCACCATCTTACACAACAACTACTCTGAGAAACCGCTCACACCGAAGAGCTCCAACCAGAAGCCGTCGTTTAAGTATGTCCTGAAATCAACATGCTTGCGTGCCTGACATGAGTTTGGAGATTTTTATGGCCAGTGAATCAGGCTGATACTGGCCATAAAGAAAAAAATGTTTGCTATCAGCCAGTTAGAGTTGGCTGCCTCCAAAATAATGAGTATCATGTGGTCATGCTTTTTTCTAATGCTTAAGGACCTTGTGTGAGGTTTCTCAGAATTTCCAATCATATTTTCCTTTCAGCAACATCCTGAAGGCCACAGCCAACGATGAGGTGTCGCTCGAGAACGGCTCCCTGACAAAGTCCCAGAAGAATTTCTCTTCAGTTTCCTCCACCTCAAACAACAGATCCCCAGTGTCGGCCCAGCGCGGCAGTCCTGTCCTGTCTCGGAGGAGGGAGGTCACTGAGGAGGAGGCCGAGAGGTCAGAACCGCCAGACTGTTTCAGAGGCTTCAGATTCACAGGGTTGCCTCCACAGTGTTTGGTAATTCTTCTGTCAGCTGTCCTGTGACTCATAGCAGTTCCTTTGTGTATTTGAAGGTTTATTCAGCAGGTGAACCAGGCAGCAGTCACTATCCAGCGCTGGTACAGACGCCATGCTCAGAGACGACACACTAACCAGGCAGCGCTCAAACGCATCCTTGCCAACAAAAGAAAGGTATCCCTCCATCCCCAGGCTGCTTTACTCCTTCGTCTATTGTTCTCCATCATCTTAACTGCTTTTATCCACCTCTTTCTATTGCTACTGTGTTAACACTCTCTGTGTCTTCTCCTTCTAGGAGTGGGAGGAGAGAACAGAGGAGGACAGTCACCTGGAGACGCAGCAGAAAAAGGACGAAGACAGGAAACGGATTCGTGAGGAGAAAGCTCGTCTCGCCCGCCTCGCTGCCATCCAGGTGCCCACCTCTGGTTTACACCTAGTGGTTTTAGTATTGCAGTTTTATAAAGCTGGGAGGCTTGTGAGAGAAATATTTAAAAAAGAATACTCACAGCTGATGCAGGAGATCTTTACTAAACTACTAGATAAATGTCCATATCTTTAAAGTCATGTCTCAAGCATGTAAACAGACTTTCTGTTAAAGTTCTAGTCTCCAAGTGGAGATTCTCCGGTCTCAATCTGTCAGTTAGTTGTCAATAGTTCTCAGACCCAAGTTAAAAGACAAGACAATCCTTACATCAGAAGAACCGAGCTAAAACCCACATGTTGAGTAAATGCTAGAGCTAAAACCAGTGACCTATATTTGGAACCAAATCTACTTTATTAGATCATGCACTTGAAACTATACTTTATGACTCTTTGTGGATGCTTTCCATGGATTATAGTGGCTAACAACATAGTCCTGTGTCTCCCCCTGGTGTCCTTTTACAGGAGCTGCAGCAGAAAAGAGCCCGGCAGGTTGCAGAGGCTCAGCATGCTGCTGAGGTGGAGCAGGAGAGCCTGAGACAGACTGGTGTGGTTGGTCGCAAGAAACCGCCCAAGATTTCTCCCACCAACAGAAGTCCAGCCTCACCGAGCAACAACAACCCCATGTCCCCCACAGACGTCAAAGCTAAGAACACAGGTCCGTATTTCTCTGCTCTGGGTTCTTTTACCTTCAGATACACCATCTTTGGGAATCACCTGAAACTACTAGAGAAAGATTACTTCACATATAAACATATTCTGCAGTATAAAGTCTATTGTCCTGATAGTTCTTGTGATCCTAGCTGTAGCTGTGATATCTAATGGTTGCTGAAGAACGTGGATAAAGTAATAAGATTGTTTTGTTATAAATGTATTGATTAGTTTTGTTTCCACAGATTCCAATTTGAATGTTGTGGCTGACTTAGGTGAGCTGAGTTTCAGAGCCATTTCCCCAGCTTTGTCCAATCACAGAGGCTCTCAGTGTTCCCAGGTAGATAACTCTGCACGCTCACAGCTTAGCTCTCCACTTTCTATCGCTCCCTTTCTCCTGATCTCTAACAAATCCTCTCTGTTTTTCCTTGTAGGATCACGAAGACGGAGCAGATGTAGACATTTCCCTGGAGCAGCAGCAGCATCAGGAGAATGACAGGAAACTGATTCGTAAGGAGAAAGCTCGTCTGGCCCGCCTCGCCGCCACCCAGGCGAACACATCTGATGTACGTATTGTAAACCCTAACTCAAGGTTAAAGCCATTTTTTTTCACACACTGAGTTGGGTTTATGACTCCTGATTGTCTACTGTCTCCCCCTGGTGGTGCGGTACAGGAGCTGCAGCAGAAAAGGGCCCAGCGTGTTGCAGAGGCACAGCATGCAGCTGGGGTGGACCCAGAAAACACGAGACAGACTGGTGTGGTAGGGCGCAAGAAACCAGCCAAAATTTATCCGATGAACAAATGTCCGGCCTCACCGAGCAACAACAGCCCGATGTCACCCACAGACGTCAAAGCTAAAAACACAGGTCTCGATGTCTCTGTAGCATTATAACATGACGCTTACTCCTATTGTGCAACGTGAGCCTTAGTGAGCACCAAAATCATCTTATATCCAGTTAAGGATGCTAAAAAAAGTGGCATTTTAAACATGGAAAATAGAGTATGTGTAATAACTGTAATGGTCAATTGTTTCCACAGACTCCAATTTGAACATTGTGGCTGATTTAGGTGAGCTCACCAGCTTCAGAGCCATCTCCCCAGCTTTGTCCAATTGCAGAGCTTCCCAGTGTTCCCAGGTAAATAACTGAACACTTTTCGACTGCACAGCTCAGTAATCCACCTGCAGTTCTTTTATTTGGTCCCATTATATATTTGTGTTCTCCGTGCTCCAGGAGATTCTGCAGAGGTCGGTGAGTGTGGAGGACCAGCGGCAGGGAGCTTTGTCCAGCAGGGCTCAGTCTAAAACCACCCTCAACGAGCTGCTAGACACCCTGAAGCTGTTAGAGGAGGAGCCAGAGAGGCTGTCAGAGCCAAAGTGCTACCGCAAAGAGAAATACGCCTGGATAGATGAGGTGAGACTTCCTCTTCATCACCTAAAGTAGTGAATTTATGTTTTTTTGTCCAGATTGAAACTATATTGATTAAATCATGCCGTGACTGTAATCTCCACTGTCTCTCTGATTAAAGGACGGAGACTCTAACTCTCTGACCACCGACAACCTGGAGCGTCACGGCCAGCTGAGCCACCACCCTGCGCTGCCAGACGGGGGCGCCCTGCTCTCCGAGGCCAAGCTGCAGAGCATCATGAGCTTCCTGGACGAGATGGAGAAGTCTGAACAGGAGAGACCACGCTCGGTTACTTCAGGCTCTCACAGAGAGGTCAGCATCTGAAGCACTACGAGGCTATGCTGTTGATTTCTTTGTCTGTTTTTATGACCAGTAGTAGTTTTGGGTCCCATTCCAACATCATTCTGCCTTTATATTTAGTTCAGATAGTATTGACATGCGAGTAGATATAATGATTGTGTGTTTTTCCATAAATAGTGAGTCTCAACTAGTCAATGTGCATTTAAATTTCCTCATTATTAACAAAATGCAAAAAGTCTGACGAATTGCTGAATGGTTCCTGTGTGATCTCAGGCTGTGTTGTCAGAGGAGGAGCTGGTTGGTGTCGAGCAGGCGTCCGCCACCGCTGCCGAAGTCACCGGCTCCATGATGAGAATCAAGCTGGAGCTGGAGGAGAAGAAACGCACCGTCAACATGCTGCAGACCGCACTGGTGGGGGAAATGCACACACAGTACAGTGCAGCACAGTTGTAATGTAGCTGTAGATTAGCTACAGATTAGCTGCTGTAAATGAGAATACCTAGACCTCTCCTCTCCCGTCCCATCAGGCCCAGCAGAGGGAGCTGACGGTGAGACATGTGAAGGAGACCGAGAAGGAGCTGAACAGGAACTTCCAGCTCCAGAAGGAACAATATGAATCCACCATCCAGAGACACCTCACATTCATTGATCAGGTAGGTACACACACACACAGATCTAATCCCAAACTTTTCCTCACGTTGTTTGCCCCGTGGGATTAAATATGTCCCGTCTTTCTTCAGCTGATCAACGATAAAAAGGCTTTGAGCGAGCGCTGTGAAGGAGTGGTGGGAGAACTGAAGCAGGTGGACCAAAAGTACACCAAGAAGATTGCACAAATGCAGGAGCAGCATGAAATGGTGAGAAGACCTAAACTATAATAATCTAAAGTTTCCATGATTTAAGAATTGGCATGTTCACTTCAAGTTTACACAAATAACTTCTGCCTCTCTGCTTCTGCTCTGCATCTTGTGTGATCATCTTTTAGAACTTGCTTTCTTGCAGTTCTGCTTTTGTCTAACTGTCTTTTCTCTGTTCCCTCTCTTCTTCTTCTTCACTGTCTTTCTCTGTCCTTGTCTGTATTTCTGTTTTTTTTTTCCTGGCTTTTAGGTGTGGCAAATTCTGGGTCCCTTGTGTGAGGTAACTTTTTTTTTCTCCTCTAACCCGGTCATCCTTGGCACGATCATCTCTCTCATTCTACCATTCCTTCTTCCTTTCATTTGTCTGTCCCTCACAACCTCTGTTGGACAGTCTGTCTGCATGTGAGTGTCCTCAGTCTTTTCTTATTTATATCTAGTGTTAGATGTAAAGTTCACATTGCTTTCTGTTATTAAGTTAATTGTCCTGCCCGGAATTAGTTTGAACCCTCCTCTTCCTCTTATGACGTTTATCAATTTACAGTTTGAGCTTGTAAAATGCACACCCCTTGAATTTATCACTGTTGTTATAACCATGTAAAAACTGAACCTCGAACCTACAAAGTACCTCTTTTGCTTTAAATAAGGCAAATACCCTGCTGCCACTTCACTGCGACACCAAACTGCCATAATTGACCCTCCTCCACCCCCTCCCTCCGCAGGAAATCAAGAAGTTAAAAGAGCTAATGAGTGCCACAGAGAAGATCCGTCGGGAGAAATGGATTGATGAGAAAACCAAGAAGATTAAAGAGATCACAGTCAAAGGTACAGTAAACAAAACCTCGGCTCGGAGCGGAAATCTGAGATTAAACATCTCTACCAAAGCCCTTTAAAGATCAGGAAAAAAAAAAAAAAGTGTGTAATGTAATCCTGGATAATTCTACCACAACTTTGGCATACGTGCAAAAATTTGGTTTAAAAAAACCCTGATAAACGTTGGTTGGTGCTGAAGACTACAAGTTTAAAAAAGGAAAAAAATATAGTGTGTAGCGTTAGAAAGAAGTGAGCTTATCAAGTTGCATTGTGGAGTCCCACCAGAGCCAGGTTTGCCAGGAAGAAGCATATGTGGAATAAGAAAGATGATACCAATGTTTTAATCTTTTTATTTATTTATTTATTTTTTATGATAAACCGGTGGAACACTCTTTTAATCAAACTGTTAGAAATGATGTTGGCTTCGATTACTGATCTATAACAAGTCTTTGGACATTTCCGCTGACGTGACTTTTTATTCACTGCTCATATTGGCTCTGCTCTGTAACGCCTCCGACCTTACAGCTGTATCTAGCTGTTGTTTTTTTTTACATTTTCTGTCTTTTTAAGAGCAGCATAAACAAAAGAGCTACAGTTCTGTGTCCAGAAACTTGCCATGTTCCACTGTTTCCTGCCTGTGTCGAGCTGATTCCATGAAAAGTCACAGCCAGTTGTCAGCCAGTGCTGATGAGGTGTTTGTACAGTCACAGGGCTCGAGAACCCAGAATTGTTTGTTATTCTTAACTCAGTGACCGCTGAGGTATATTTACTTGTGTTTTCACTGATATTCAGACCTAAAATAAACCTGCCTTACAGTAAATTGACTCATGAACATCCAGAATTATTATTTTATAAAAAAGAAACATGAATCATCCCATTATTTTATAGAGCAAGTTGATCCTGTGAGCTGTAAACATTTTGCAGGCCCTGACTAGCCACAGAAACGTGAACTGTTCTTCCTCCCTCCTCCCTCAGGACTGGAGCCAGAGATCCAGAAGCTGATTTCTAAGCACAAACAGGAGCTGAAGAAGCTGCGGACGCTCCACGAGGCGGAGCTGCTGCAGGCTGACGACCGGGCGGCCCAGCGCTACGTCCGCCAGTGTGAGGAGCTCCGCCAGCAGCTGGAGAGGGAGAAGGAGGAGCAGTGCCAGAGAGAGAGGGAACTAGCCAAACAGAGGTAGGCATGATACCTCACCATGACTCACACTGGCCTTCTATACAGGAGCACCATACACTACTATACTACGCTTCCTGTATTTTTTTCTTACGTTGTTTGATAACTGTGTATTTCATAGATACTATAGTGCACCAATAAACACCATAGATTTCAGCTTACTGGCTGTATGAATGAAACCTTAAAAACATCCAACCTCATACTCCTTGGACTGGAGGCTGAAAGAAACAAAAGAAGCAGCTTCAAGCAAAATCTCTTGCTAAACAAGCAGCCAGTGTGGAGCTGAATGCATTAAGAGATGGCCTTCAGTCTCAACAGTTTATTCAATGTGCTCGTCATGCCTATTTTTGGAAGCGCTGCAATCAGGCTGTCTGTACTGCAAGGCGAGAGAGACAGAGATTTAATTTTACTTTAATGCTGTACAGTACTGAGCACAGCCACATTCAGGTGTGTTTGTGTGTCTTTTTGTTTACGTGCGTGTGTCAGATATGAGAAGCAGCTTCAGGAGGAGGAGCTGTCCCTGCAGCAGCAGAGGAGGCGTCTCTACAAGGAGGTGGCAGATGAGAAAGAGAGGCTGGCTCAGCTGTCTTCAAGGTAAGGTCAAAGGTCACCTGTCTGTCTCTTTCAGCAGTGAAAATTTGAAGACATGAACCAGTCATTTTCCGAGCAAGAGACAACGCTGAATAAGAAGCTGAATCGGTGGAAAATAAAGAAAGGATGTTCTGGGTGTTCAGTCCAGTCCTAGTTTGGCATTACTAGCACACAACCTTGAAGACTCACTGAATGGGAGCAGCTTCCAGGTTAAAGATGTCTGTTACAGAGTAGAGGAACTGTTCCTTTAATCCCCATCCTGCTCCTGCTGAGTGTTTGTGCTTGTAAATCTGTCTCCCCTACAGTCCTGCAGGGGATATAAAACACATGTTGCCCTTATAGATCTTTTCCCTAAAAGAAAAATGCTATTATAGCTGCCTGGCTGTGAAACAAGTGACCTTTAGAAGATAGACTGAAATAAACTCTATTAAAGGCCATTAAAAGTAACAGGAACAGCAATGTTACATATGCATTTGGATGCATACTGTTTATCGGAACAGCACATTTTACATGTCAGGTTAAACCCCTGTAATAGCAGCCCTTCACCATTGAAGATGATCCTGTTTGTAGAGGAAATAGTACATAGAGAAAACTAATTGTTAGGTTCTATATGTATGTATATTGGGATTATTATGGTTCTCCTTTGTAAATGCTCTTCTTTGTGTTGTCTTATAGGCAGCGTGCTGAGCTGGAGGATCTGCGGAGGCAGCTGGAGGAGAACAGCTCTCTGGCTGGACGGGCCCTCAGAGAGGAGCTGGACAAGACCAGAGAGGAGCAGGAGAGGAGACACCAGGTGATGAGTGTAAACCGAGCAGAATAGCATCAGGATCATTAACTTGCTCTGTCTGTCTAGTATCTGCAACATCCTACAGAAATCTGAGGCAGTGAGCGGGACTGCAACTTGCTAACTGAGTGTTGTTTGTGTAACCAGCTTGAGATGAAGGCTTTACAAGAACGTTTGGACATCGAAAAGCAGACGTGGGAAGAAAACTACAAGAAAAAAGAGGTTTGTGACATTCTGTTATAAATATGTGCAAACACTTTGTTCTGTTGTGCTATATCAGCTCTAAAGCACTTCTTTTGTTCAGATAGACATCTAACAAACCACAGAATACCCTGTATTGTGCTCATAGAACCCTGTAGGCCTCTGGGTTGAGAGATTTTAAGTGCTTTGAGTGCAGCTGTCTCAAAAACAAGAGAAACCTTTTCCATTGTGCGTACTAGGCGTAGGCAGGTGGCACATTTCACTCTCTAGAGTGTAAACAACCTGTGCTTTCCAACTCTATTCATTGCAGTCTGTATGAAATCCTCAGGGTGTAGATGACATGTAATGAAGACAAACAGACTTAATGCGTCAGGAGTTGTTATGAAAATATGAACACAGTCAGTGATCTGGGAAATGGTGGGGATTAAACAAAAACAAATATATCTGAACCAGGTGTGTGGGCATTTCACGTATTTGTCCTTGTGTGTGCGGTCAGAAAGCAGCCAGGACAGAGAGCATGTGTGTTTTGTGTGTCCACAGGAAGTGTGGCTGCTGAGCCGTGAGCGCGAGCTCAAAGACGATCTGCGACGAGAACGCGACAAAGAGATCGAGCTCGCCATCTGGACGCTGGAGGAGGAGACGAGCAAGGACAAAGAGGAGTGTGAGAGGGCAGCTGACAACAGGTGTGTGTGTGTCTGTTATGAGTGAACCTAGCACCCTCTTTACACTGTGGTATGCTCTGGTTGCAAAACCTGCCACTTGGATGATCTCTTGGTTTTAATCTGACTCTTCACTGTTGTTGTGCAGCACCTGGAAATAGTTTTGGACGTGCACATTGTTCCTTTTTAGTCCTACTTGTTGCACAATTTCTCCTTTGTGCAAACAACAGCTTCACCAAATGTTACAGGTTAAGGTTTCTTTGAACTCCAACCACCAATTGACTCTGTTCTCAGGGTGAAGCGTGTGAGGGAGAAATACGAGGCTGAGCTGAGGGAGCTGGAGCGCTCCGAGAGGGCAGCCGTGGAGAAACAACAAGAGCTGAGGAAGCAGCAGATGGAGATGGAGGGAGAGCTGATTAGACTGCAGGCCTCGCTCAGACAGAAAGAACAGGAGACTGAAGACATCACTCAGGTAAGGAGCAAACCCCTGCCCTTCAATCATTGATAAAACCCTTGAGTCCCTTCTTTCATCTTTCTTCTGAAGGCCTCAAATTATACTTCTGACAGTCTGTTACTCTTCTCCTCTGTAAACTAGCAAGTAGAAAGTTGCCACAAACAGCATATGTGATGAAAAGTGTATACAATCCAATCCAAAAACAAACACAGATTCTATTTGAACTCGTCTATTCAGACCAGGGACAAGCTGGTGGATGAGCGCCGCAGCCTGGCAGAGGTGATAAGGCAGGAGTTTGCCGACCGGCTGGTGATGACGGAGGAGGAGAACCGCAGGTTGAAAGTGGAGGTGTCAGAAGTCCGAGCGAGGCTACGGCTGGAGGTGGAGCGGGTCTCCAGGGAGAAGGAAGAGGAGTTGGCTGAAGTCCACCAACGGTAAGGTGGAAGGGACAGAGGGATTAATAAGAGGATATGAATAAGAATTTTAATAACTAGTTTTATGATTGGATGTGTGTGTCCATCCACACAGTTTTCACCCCCTAATGGCAAATAAATCTGTGGAGGGGGGGGCAGCCACAAAACTCCACAAAACTATCTGTAAATGGCCATCGACAATCTGTTCCACGATGTAGGTCAGCGGACGTCTGTATTATTTAAGTATTGGTGGGGGCCGACTGGCTGCTTACAGTCTGTTTTGTTCAAGGTGTAAAAAAGGGATGTTGGCTAACATTTTAAACCCGCAGTTCAAAATGAATTAAAGGTGTTAACCTGAGCCCTCCACTGGGTGTCTGCCAGTTTCTAAAAGAAGAGAAATATGAGTAGAGGCTTGGTGCAATCCTGAAGATGACCTGATTACTGTCAATGTGAAATTCAATGGGGCACTTCCAGCTCCCTCAGCAGTGGATTATTATATGAGCAGATTACATGACATCTACATTATATGGCCAAAAGTATTTAGACGCCTGAATGTTGCACCGTATGTGATATTAAACATTTCACTCCAGAACCTCTGACACAAAGTTGGAACTGTCTAAAATATCATTGTATGATGTAATTGAATGTAATCAAAGCACAGGCACATGTTAGTCCGTCTCTCTTGGCTTCCCTACCGCCTTTAAAAAGGGTTTCGGTCATTTCCTAAAAGCTGGACGTTACTCACACAGGGAGAAATAGTGCATTTGTTGGGGACTATTTTCAGTGGCGGATTAATCCACATTTGGTGGAGGCAGCAGGTTAGTGTATGCGGGATTGTGTGTGTGTGTGTGTGTGTGTGTGTGTGTGTGTGTGTTGGTAATGGAACAGTGTGGCTTGCTGATGTGTTTTTAATAGTTTTTGGAACAAGAATGGAGCTGTATGGCACAGAGGAAGAAGATATATCAGGCTTTGATACACACACAGTGCTTATTAGTAGATACATTTATTATTGGTTTTGGTTTTGTGAACATGTAACAATTTGTAGCTTGTTTTTTTGTTTTTCTAGTATTTGTTTTAGTACCTCAAATCTCAAAGCAACTAATCTGAAAACAGAACACAGACTCTGAAACCAAACTCAGTTATTTGATCATTTATTGGCAAAA